GGACGGAGTCATGATTATTTGGAAGTTAACATTAAACATTTTATGGGATTTGGAAGTTATCATAAATCCCTCATTATTTCTCTAGAGTTCATAAGGGGAAAACTGAAATGATGAATGATCCAGGGAAAAAAAAAACCCAACATAATATCAATACAAGATAGAGAATAATTTCCATGCAGTATCCATAAAATGGCAAGTTAAGATAATACTACATGGAATAAAGCAGTCGGATGGGATGGAAAGGCATCTAAAAACTATCACCAAGTTTCCTATTCAGAAAGCCATAACGACTTTTAAAACCAAAATGAATTCATAACAAACACGTAAGATATTCTAGGCAAGTACTGATATGAATGAAGACCACAACACCAACGATACAATAAATATCAGCTAGTCCATCCATCCTATTATATCAACAATATAAAAAAGGAAAGCCCCTACCTTTAGCGGGAGGAGCCATTGGTCACTAAAGCAACTCTCTCCACTCTAATTAATCAAACCTGTCAAAACAGCGCCAGTATCAAACTATGAAACTTCTAAAAGGAAACTCAATTATGCATTATGTGATAAACTGGTGGAAGCTCAAAAATCCATATAAGAGAAAGAACGATATAGTGGCGCATGTTTCTTTATTTACTTAAAAATGCATATAACTTTCGGGATCTCAGACTAATTGTATAGGAAACTATAACAGGAAAAAAATGAACAATCAAAAGATACAGACACTTTACCAGTACTACGAGTGATTTCAAACACTAGTTGCCAAATGAATGTATCCATCGTCCATTGAACTAAGCGTACTTCAACATATTTCATGAAATGTCACGTTTGCGGTGTTACCCTAATTTCACGATAACTAACTCTACCTTTCTTAACACCTGAAATTCTAACCTCGGAAATGTTTCGGACAAATGCTCAATCAATTCGAGCGAGGCAAGCATTCATACTGATGCGAAAGCAATAAGAGGCAAGATTAAGATGAATACTAGGGAAAGGAACAGTAAAAGGATTAAAGATTTAGATGGACACTCACACAGTGAAGCCCTAACTAACCAAAACAACATAAATTGTCTAGACTAGTATCGATGTTGAATCAGGTTTTATACAGAACTTATAAAAAGATACATACATGGATGTAATTTCAAATGAATTTGAGCATTTCTCTGTAAACGTGCAAATAGAAATTCAAGGATGCCATCGGAAGGATAGAGAGAGAAACCTGGACGAGAGGGGGGCGTCTGCTGCGGCGGTTCGAGCTTCTAGGGTTTTAGACGTCGAGGATGAACATATATGATAGATTTAGGGGCTTAAATTACCAAACTACCCTTAACGAGGAACTATTGAGCAAAGAAGCTGGATAGAGGGAGACCGGATCTACTTCTCAGAGAGCACAGCTCACACTGACCTCACAGGTATCCCACAATGGAGTTCAGATCTGCGCCCAAGAACGTCACACGGCACATCCCCGCCGTGTAGATGTTCCCAGTACACGGCGGAGATGTGCTGTGAGACGTGGGGCACCTCTTCGTGGGGCACAGATGTGAATTCCCCACAATGTATATTATTCATGGAGATGTTCTCAATGCACAGTAGAATGTGCCTGGTGCCTCACAAGCGCCTCACATGTACATTCTATCATGCATTGGGAACATCTCCCGTACTTATTAGTTATTATTCATGGGAGATATTCTCAATGCACGGTGAATGTGCCTATGAGACGCCCATTTTTGAAGAAGATATCCCCTTTATGATCGTTGTGAAGAGTGCTGAGTGAGGAGCAAGTATGATATCTTGAAAGAGGGAACATGATCTACTCCTCACACTTGGGCGCCTCACATGCACATCCACCGTGCATTGGGAACATTTTTCGTGAAAAATAACTTATAAGTACGGAAGATGTTTCCAATGCATGGTAAGATGTGCGTGAGGCGTGTGTGAGGCGCCCTATGTGAGGAGCAAATCCAATCTCTTGAAAGAGTGGGCACACAAGACCATCCTAGTACCAGAGTGCCACATAGCCTACTGAATGTTGATGTGGTCAAGGCTCAACCCGGGTCCTAAGATTGAATCCCACTCCCACATTCACCCGGATCGGGGAGTTGGGATTAGGATCTCCTGCCAACTAAACACAAGTTCAAACATTCTACCTAATTTGATCTGACACCACACATCACATTATAAAACTGGGTCTGTTATGGTGTCGGATGATATCGGCAAATTGTTGGAATGTATTTTGTTGGTAGGTTATCCAGACTGGGACTAGGAGGTGAAGGTCTATAGTCTAGTATGGATTTTGGGGGAGGGTTTGTGGGTTGGCATCCACCAACCCGATACATTTTTAAACTATGGGTTATAAACTGATCAAATTCAAATATAACTACGCAATATTAGATTCGATATTGAAGGATATTGAAAATTAATTTTTGAATTTGAATTCGATTAAATATTTGAATATTTGTTCAATTCGATCAATTAATTATTTTAAGTAATTAATAAATATATAAAATAAAGATTTCATTTGTATAAAGTATATAAATATATAAATTATTTATATAATTGAATTAGTATAAATAAATTATATAAAATATTTGATTTTTATATATTATATATAATAATTAAATAATAGATCAAATTTGGATATTTATCAAATCAAATCATGTCATATTCAAATCTAATTCAATTACTTAAACGATATGAATAGAATATCTGAATTTGACTAATTATAATATTTGAATTATCTTAATTCAATTCAATTATGTCGATATGAATTTCGAACTCGAAATTGGACTTTAGAATATCGTTGGCACCCCTAATTTTAACACTAGTTCCATATCTAGCCACATTTTTCATTGGCTCCTTGCACCAACCTCACAGCCACATCTTGTCATGTATTGGGGACATCTCCCATGAATAATAACATACAAATATGGGAGATGTTCCTTATGTGCAACTAGAAACATGCTGTGGCATTGGTATGAAGAGCATTTTATGAGGAGTAGGGTTGGCAATTTTGACCCCAACCCACTTGACCTGCCCATTTGAATATAGGGTTCAATATGGGTCAAATGACCCATAAAGGTTAGGAAAAAAAAAGGTAAGGGTCAATTGGGTCTAGAGGTGTAAATCAGGTCGTGCCGCCCACACCCTGGCATGAACTTGGATCGGGCCGACATGACAGTCCGTATGCCATGCTAGGCCCGACACAATCATGCGAGTCATACTGGGCCAGGGGTTTTAGGTCCACAGGTCGGCACGATCAAACGGGTTGTGCCGCCTGCGGCCCATGGGTCGGCACGGTCCAAACCCAACACGGCCCGCGGCCCGGCCTGGCATGGCTCACTCTATCTTCCTCACTCACATCTCCAAATTGAATATAATTAAAAAAGATAAAACACATCTCCAATTTGAATATAGTAGCCACTGCACCACCACTCTATCTTCCTAACTCACATCTCCAAATTGAAGATTTTAATCTCTATGATCAGAAATTTTAGTAAGTAGTGTTTTGAAATTGTAAAATTTGCAATTTGAATTTTGAATGTATATTTTACATCATTTATGCAAAAATATTTGTAAAATATAAAAACCCATGTTTTTTTAGAACTAACACAAGAGCAAATTAATTATTCAAGCCAAATAGGTGAACTCATGATGCCATAATTAAATAATAATAAAAGTTTTAAAATAGAATAAAATATAAAAAACAAAAGTTGTAAAAAGAATTAGGCACATCCCTAATATTTTATATTAAGAGTAAAACACTTGACTCTAACCCTACCACTATTATTTGCAAACTCTAGCCTTGACTTTTCTAACAGCTGATAAGTGTCATTAACCATTGAATATCTATTTTGTCATTCATTCTTCTTTAAAATTTTAAAACCTCCGATTCGGAAACCCCCTCTCATCTCTTTCTTCCTACCCTCACCACAAAACCAGTTGCAGAGTTGTACTTCATTAATTATATATAATTAATCATACATAAATTTTACAATAATCATACTAATGAAAAAATAAGTGTGATAAAAAGAACTGTTTTTATTGATGATAAAAATAAAATTTAAAATTTAAAATTAACCTAAAACCGAAATTATTTTATGCTTAGTGATGGATCAATAATTCAACCTTTTGGGTCAAATGTCAACCCTTGATGTTATAATTAAAAAAGATAAAACACAAAAAACTTTGCATGAAACATTTTAACATATATACAATATATTACCACCATTATCATCATCGTTGTTGTACTCATCTAAAATTGACACGCTGTGCATTTCTCTTGATAGTTAAAAACAAAAAGATAGAGAATTATAGTAAGGATTTTGGAGCAAAAATACTTCATGTGACTTGCTCGATTTATTTTAGTATTTAGTAATAGGTAGAGCGATAAAATGATCAAACAATGGTAGATTTAAAAGCTAAAATGTCAAATCAAAACTCTCCTTATTTAAAACCAAAATAAAAAAGAGAAAGAAATCTGACAGAATTGGCTGTTTTTATTTGTCCTACCTAGATTTTCTATGGCCACAGTTTTGCAAGCAGTAGTCGACTGACTGTAGGGCAGCTGAACTGCCTGCTAGAACCTTACGGATCTAACTCAAAAGAAGCTTCTTTTCTTTTTAACAAATATGTACTAAGCACAATTACGTACTGGGAAACAAATGTGTGTTGAATAGGTAAACACATACTAGCTCAAAGTTGGGGAGTTTGAATCGATCAAGCTTCTACACCTAATATTGGGCCAATTCAGTAGACCCCACAATTATATTCTGTAAATCTTAGGTTGATATGGTGCATTATTGATTGGCTGATGACTAACAATTACTGTAGTATTTGTGTCTTGTAAACTAAATCAGTGAATTTTGCATAATAATTTAGGAAAAAATCTCGATTAGTATCCTGTAGGCCTAGTGTCATTTTGGTTCACGAAATTTAAAATGTGATAATTTAGTATTCAAAATTTTGTAATATGTCAGTCCATTATTTATTGTTAATCAGCTTTTAACCAGTCATTAAATGCCTTTGTAAAAGACACAAATGCCCTTCAGTGTCATGTAATTTTCTTGATCAATCATCTAAATATTGACAAAAAAATTAACAGTCCTAAATCCTTGCCTCTTTTATTCAAGAAGGTTGGGGTCCAGAATGCCCACTGAGACGTGATCCCAACTTTCTTGAATAGAAGAAGCAAGGATTTGGGATTGTTAATTTTTTGTCAATGTTTGGATGGTTGATAAAGAAAATTAGATGACACTTAAAGGACATTCGTGATTTTTTTCAAATGCCATTTAACAACTAATTAACAGTAGATACTGAATTGACACGTCTTGAAAGTTCGAGTGTTGAATTGTGACATTTTAAAGCTTGAGGACCAAATGATAGTAGGCCTAAAGTATAAAGTATTAATCGGAAATTTTCTCAATAATTTATTATGATTTCAAACATATAAACGTCTTAGAAACTGGAAGCCCTCCAAATATTCAGAATATCTTTTTTTGTATTTCCCCCAACACCCATAGACAACGGGCCCAAATCTGCTACACGGACAAGACAAAGAGAAAGATATTTAACCCTAATACTCAGTATTGAAAAGAATATAGATACAAATATGTAGAATGCAAAATCTTGCATTTTCTATTATTTTGTATATATATATACATATTTATATTTATATTTGTACTCCTTCCAAACTGAGTCTAATGAAACTAAGGCATACCAACAATGGAAATAAAAAAGTAGTAATGCTGTAGCCATGGTAGCAGCAGATGTGCTAGAGAGAGAGAGGTCCCCACAATTAGCTGGAAATAACTTGTTTTGCGACCCCATCTCTGGTGATGAATGAGAAATCGTGAAGAAGACGACATAAACCTACACATCATTATTTGTCATGTATATATGATCTTGTGCTGGCATTCATTTATTAATTTTGTACAGTCTCTCTCTCCGCCACCCAGTACTCGAAGCAAAGAATCAGTATTGTTTCTGCTAGCTCCCACCACGAACCACGATCCACTGGAGTAAAAGAAGCATCCAAAAGTTCTTTTAGTCATGGTAAATGATGCCTTCTCCACTTACCTTAAGGTCTACGGAGGAGGCATCCTCACATGCCAATCTGAAAAGATAAATAGGAGATATCAAAGAAGATGGTAAAACACCTCACCATACTTCCTTCTTCATTGTGACCTCTCCTTCAGCAAAGCCATGAGCCCTGCAATTAAGCTTCTTTCCTCTTTGGTTATTGTCTTCCTTCTCCTCCTACAGGTACACTCTTCAATTCCAACTCCACTGGCCATGGCTAAAGCAATTTTCCTACTAACTTTGTTTTATATCTAATGTATGTATGTATGTAAATTGTTGCAGGCTTTTGCAGAAGCATCAACAGAAAATGCCGTTCATTCTCCGAGTAATGTGGGTCTTCTCTCTTCTTTTCTCCTTCTCTTTACTGCAAAACAAAGATAGAATAGGAATAATGAATCGTTAGAATGGTTCTGAATCTTCTGATCATTAATTGAAATCAAAACTATTCAATTCATCACATCTGCAGATGACTGAAGGAGGTGATCTAGCTGCACTTTACAGATACTATCGCCGACCCAAGATCAGTAAGTCCATTTGATCATCAATAGGAGTTTCTTCAAATTTTCACAGGCCTAATAAGGGTTCTGTCTTACTGCATGTTTATCGTGATACAGATTGCCATTTTGCCTGTGCGAGGAGATGCAGGAAATCATCAAGAAAGAATGTATGTACTCGAGCATGCGGCACCTGTTGCATGAGATGCCGGTGTGTTCCTCCGGGTACTTATGGCAACAAGAAAGCTTGTCCCTGCTATGCCAGACTCAAGACCCATGGACACAGGCCCAAATGCCCTTGAATCATCTCTAGTTAATGCTCTGTAAAGCTCTCTGTAGCTCTTCTGATCTGCTAAGCTTTTGAAATATATATCTATTTAGAAAGACTTGATTACCAAACAGCCCCTTAGTAAGTTACCTACCAGTATTACTGGCTTTGATTGCTGTCTGTGTCGGTTTCATGTAACTAGTAAATGAGCCTATGGGTATGCTTTTGTTTGAGAGTCAATAAGGTTCTGTCTTACACGCTTGTGTAAGGAGATAAAAGGATTTTTTGTTTGCCTCTATTTTGTTTTAATATAATTACACTGTCTTTATATATACATACGTACTGATTGCAACATCTGAAACTGAAAGAGATGTGATGGTATGAAAGCAGCAAGTGGGTTTCTTTAGTCCTGCTCGTCTTCAAATGAAACTGAAGAGAGAGGAATGAAAGAGAACTCCATGATGCAGAAAGAGGAAAAAAACTAGAATTTAATGCAGGGTTGCTATATGGACAATCCGAGTAAAACAGGTATGGTCACAGATTTGGGCTCTCTATATCCAAATTTGCATTTTTTATAACGGGGACTGGTTCTCCAATTATCTGGTCTGGTTCAGAATTTTCAATATTTCTTAGACTTTAGGTTGTTTGTTGCAATGCAAATCTTGACCAGGTGCAAAATTTGTACCAGGTTCAGTTTTACATTCATTTATTTGTAATTATGATTTGCATTCTTATATGATGCGAAATTCATACTTTCTATCTCTTTTGCACTTATTGGCAATGCAAATTTTGCATTCCATAAAACTGATGCAAAATTTGCAACACATTCCTTCCACCTCATTTTTTTTCTCATTTAAAGTAGGCACTACGTTATCATCTTGTATGGTATACCTTACCCCTAGACAGATAACCCTCCTATCCAAGTGGGAGTTCATTTTACCTCACAAACAAATATGACAAAATCAAATACAAAGCAAAGTAAACCAGAATTACACTCAACCCTTTTGCACACCCATGCATTTTACACCAATATGAAAGGATATGTGATCGTGTAACCAAGTATATGGTAGGGATCACATCATGTTGTATATGACAAGTTTTAAAAACTGACCTGAAATCGGAACTGCTTTGGTTACCAGTTTTTTGGTCAGCGGTTTGACCATTTGGTTCAAATAAATGACCCCAAACCACTATTCGGGTCGAATGGATTGATAGTTCAACCATTCAGAACAATGAATCACTGATCAAATCAACGATTTTTGGACAATGACCAGATTAAGATTAAGAATAAAACAAAACCGATTACCTAAGACAGTTTCTGGGTAACAGAAGAAAACAATTGAAGGGTCACTATTTCAGTGATATATTTTGACTGTGGCATTTTACCTCACAATAGTCCATTTCATGTGGCATAGAGCCATAGACCATGCAGCCCATGTTACCAATGTCGAGTGATACAGCCATGTAGACAAGAGAAGGAAATATTCCACCGATCTCTTGTAGGTATATCTATAAGGGTGAAAATTCGACTATAGTGAGGTCAATGGATTGCAAGCACGGACGAATGCAATCTTTTACCCACAAACTCTTCTCAGAACCCTACCCACATGCTAATACAGCTATACAACAGTAACATCTCCCCTGTCATTCACGGGGATATGTTTTATTTCAATGTGCGGCTGTAGCGTCTTGTTGGTAGGGATGTGAAAAGAGCTTGTGGGTAAGAGTTCCAAAATTAGTAAATAAACCAGTGTTCCGTACATTTGGTATATGTTTGGTATCGATGCTACAATTGCAGCTGCTGATGTGTGGGTTGGAAATATCATTTTTTGCCTTTTTTTTTGTTTGGAATTGTTGCTGCCAGGTAGGATGTTGACAAAAAATTATAAATCTAAAATTCTTACCTCTTCTATTCAAGAAAGCCGAAGTCACATCTCAATGGGCATTGGGCATTTTGGTGACCAAACAAAAATATTTATATTTTTAATTAAAAAACTTACCAAGTCAGAGCGTAGTGGTTCCGTGAGGCGAACTCCGATATGCACCGTCTTCTTGGGGTCGGTATCTAAGACCGCCACCGGCATGATGTCCTTCATGGGACAAGCTCTCTCATTGCTGTTCTTCGGTTGCAGCTCTAGGTCGATGTCAACGGCCTGCTTTCCTTTGCCCTTCAGTGCGGTTACGTAACACTTGCGGGACTTGAGCTGAATGCCTCGCACCACTCCTACTCCATAACTTGTTAGAAACTTCATTGACAGGTAGTAGGTCGACACTAATGCTCAGAGGGCGTGCAAAATAGGTGGGCCCAGAATGGCATTGTAGGGCGAGGGGGTCGCAACCACTAGGAAATCGTGATTGAAACGCACTGAGTTCAGCACTAAGCCCACCCTTACTAGCACCCTCACCCAGCCTAGGGGTTGGACTACTTCTCTACTGAAGCCAACCATGGGGACGTTGGCCGACAGCAAATCCCTCCTCTCGAGCTAGGGGTGCTCATGGAACTGTGGGCCTTTTTTTGAACCGAACCGGTAGTACCGATTTTTGGAATAGCAGTAACCGAAACCAAACTGAAACCAGTTAGTTAACTAGTTCGGTTAACCGTCGGTTTGGTTTGCCAATTTTTCAGTTTTTTAGTTTTTATAATATATATTATAAAAATATATAAAATATTATATTTTAAATAATAAATAATATATTATATTATAAATATAATGCTTATTTATTAATTTATAATATATATAATATACATAAATATATAGAAAAACATGTATATCGATCGGTTTGGTTAACTGCCGATTTTTTATATTAGTTAACCGAAACCGAACTGGTACCTTCAGTTTTTTAAAAACACCAAACCAAAACTGAACTAATCGGTTCGGTTCAATTTTTTGATTTTTTGCTCACCTCTATCTTGAGCTCTATCCACTTAAACGCCTCTAGGAAAATGATGTCGGCCGAGCTTCTAGAGTCAACCAGAACCCGCTTTTCCTCGAAGTCATTTATGATTAACTTGACTACGAGGGTGTCATTGTGCGGATATTGGATCCCACGAGCGTCATCCTTGATGACGTAAATCACTTCCTCCACACGAGGGTGCTTTGGCGGGTTCTCGTCCTCATGCTCGATCTCCCGAATTGAATTTTTCCCCACTGAGGTACTACATCCTACTACTGTGGACCCTCCCATGATCATGTTAATAATACTGCGGATGGGCTACTGTGCTAGTGGTGGGTCTCGGGGAGGTCGATCTCCATTCTGGTCCCTGCTCGACTGTGGCACTTCTCTTGGCTGGTTGGCACCGATCCTCCTACTTGATGAACTTCTTTAAATAACCTCAGCAGATCAAGTCCTCAATCTCATCCTTGAGGTCACGGTAGTTCTTTGTGTCATGGCCAATGTCCCAATGAAAGTGGCAATATTTGTTGGAGTTCTTGTTGTAGGGTCTCCTCACATCCGAGGTGGTCATCTGACGTTCTCGACTGTCTTAATCCCCCTTCTTCACGTTCAGCGTGGTGTAGTTTCAGTTCTGGATGGGAGAGTGCGAGAATGTTGTCTCGAGGACTTGGTGCTTCTATACGGAGACCTGCTTCTTCTCTGTGGCAACCTATTGCGACAGTTGTGGGGGACCTACTGCGCCTCAGTGACTTACTCTTCCGACGCTATTTGCCACTCCTCGGCTCATCCTTTGACCTCCTTTCCTTGCTACTCAGCTCCAACTAGGATTTGAGCGCTTCTTCGGCCTTCATAAATTTGGCTGCTTGGTTAAAGAACTCCTCCATAGAGGCCGGAGGGTTTAACTAGACCACCCAGTGCAAGCAGGGATGTCGGACGCCGTTGATCATTGCAGTGAGCTAAACGGTTGGATCGAGGTTGGGAATTTGAAGTCGCTCTAGGTTGAATCATTTGATGTAATCCTGGAGCTTCTCATCAGGTCACTAGACAACATTCAACAAACAGGTCATCAACTTCGGGCATTGCTTGCTCGTCATGAAGTGCATAGTAAACAGGTCAACAAACTAGTTCCAACGCTTTATAGAGCCCACGACCAGCCCCAAATACCACATCCAAGATGTGCCTCAAAAGGTGGTCGGGAAGGCCATGCAAAGGTTCACGTCATTTGCCCCATGTAGTTGCATCAGGGCCTAGAAGTTGTTGAGGTGGTCGACCGGGTCAATTGTCTCTCCAAAGGATTATAGGCTAGGGGCCTTGAAGTCTTTCGGTTGCAGGGCCACGAGGATTTCCACAGCTAGTGGCGATGTCTGAGACATCGGCTATGTGCTTGTGCCGACGAGGTGCCAATCTGGCTCACCTCCTTCTTTTCTTCTTGTTTCTTTTCCGCCTCCTCATTGTCATTCGAAGCGAGGTGATTCCTTCCTGTGGCCCGGTGTGTACATCTGGAACGCCTTCTCCAGAACCCCTCGGTCGAGCTGGTAGCCTCAGTCCTGATTTGTGTTGCGGCTTGGACCAGTTCCTCTATCGGGACCTGGTTCTAGTCATCAATGTGACGAGGTAGGCCAAGTACTGGGTTTTGAATCTGGTTGTCAAGCTGTTGGTTCTGATTTTGGTCGGCGTTCTGGTTGTGGCTGACGTTCTACCCAACGACCTGACCTCCCTGGTGTTGCTACTACTGTTGTTGTTGTTTTATCCCTACCATGGCGCCAAAGCATCTTTCCCATGTCCTCATATGCAGGTTTATCCCACAGACATACTGCATCAATTCATTGAACTAGCGAGCATCGATACCGATAGGAACCGCTGAGAGCTCGACTGGAGGAAAGGTGCATTCATGTTGGGTAGAGGAAAGTTGGGATCTTGCATGATGGGGACACCTGGTAAGGTCAGGGGCAAGATAAACTGCCCAATAGTCATGGAGGGGATCTCAGGGTGCACTACGGGTTGGTCATGCCCCCCTGTAACTGAGTTGTTATTGTTAGGGTTGTTGATGAAAGTGTTGTTGGATGATGCCATTGAAGATATACTTGAAAGAGAGGTGTGAGAGTATGATTTTTTGTATAACGTTTCCCACAGGAGGTGTCAATTGATGGTACACGATCAGGTAGCTCCCTATCGGAGGAAAACTCAGACGCTGGACTATGTAGGTCGCTTGCTCGAGCTGCAAAGAAAGAGAAAAGATCAGAGTACCCAGGCTACTTTTACTTGGTGTGGGCACTCCGATGCTTAAGTCAACGAGTTGGAGTTTTTGAGAGCTATAAAGCAAGAGAGAGAGAGAGAGAGAGAGAGCGAGTTTGAGTGTTAAATTGCGCGTACTTCATGAGGTTGGAATTGAGGCCCTTATATAGGCGAGTTGCCCTGAGCCTCACAAAACGCATTTGAGATCTCTGGCCTGTCCGATTCAGAGGTGGTTCCAGGCCTGGAGGTAGACTTCGTGTAAGCAAGTAGTGTCTATCCAATCTCGTCCAAAACGGGTGGAGTGATAACCAGCTTTTCCAATGTGGCATCGTGATCCTAGGGAATTCAAAGGCGATTGGCCACTTAAGGGGGAAGTCGCTCGGCACATCAGGTAGGTCGCTAACCGGGGCCAGGGTAGTTCGGTGGAAGTAAGTCCTGCCTAGTTGTTCGTAGTTCGGCCTACCGGGGTGGTGCCAAGGTCGCTAATACAATTGTGAAGTGTATAAAGTGATGTACTTACCTGGTACCGAGGTATCACCTAACTATTCTGCGATGCCATGTATCATTGTCAGTGGAGGACCAATTTACCCCTTATCACATATAATAGGGATGAGCACTACATAATACATTGTATTGTGGAAACACAAGAGCATATACATATACAATTGCCTGGAATGGACGATTGGGAGTAAATAAAAAAAGAAAAAGAACAAAAAAAAAGAAGTATTTGAATTAAAAGGTTGAACTCTATATGATACATAATGAATCAGCTGCCTCATCAAATGTACAATGATCAAGCACCGATAAGCCTGTTCCTGTTGGTTTTCAATGTTACTACAATGGGTTGGACGAGTCGGATAGTTATCCAGGCAGATCAGATCCATATACATGCCCCATTCTGATACGTTTAGTTTCCAAGTACCTCTTATTTTCTTCTGTAATGGGTGACAAGACAGGAACCCGTCCAACAACAGCCAAACCATAGCCCTTTAGACCAGTGAACTTGGCTGGATTGTTCGTCATCAAGCGCATGGTCCGCACTCCCATGTCCCTTAAAATCTAGCAGCCACAAGAAAGAGAGCTTGGAAATTGTCATTCAACTGGGACTAGAGCTTGTTTGTTGAACTAAATTCAGGTCAGATAAAGGAAAAAAAAAGGTGTGATTATCATCTAAATCAGACTAACCTGGGCCCCAATTCCATACTCTCGGGCATCAATGGCCAACCCCAATTTCAGATTAGCTTCGACTGTGTCATGCCCTTGATCCTGCAAATTGTAAGCCTGAAGTTTGTGACCTAAACCAATTCCTCTTCCCTCGTGGCCACGGAGGTAGACCACCACTCCTCTACCCGCCTTCTCGATCAACTCCATTGCCAAAGCCAACTGGTTGCCACAATCACACCGGGCAGAACCAAATATATCCCCAGTCAAACACTCTGAGTGAACTCTTACAAGGACATCTTGCCCGTCTCCAATGCTTCCCTGTTGAGTTTGGAAGAGATTTGAAAAAGATTAACTTGCAGGATCACCATTTATCTGGTTTAGAAAAAAATACAATGACAAAGGCATGAGCAGGAAGCCAGCAACCTGAATTTGAATCTTTGATGCTACAATGGGCAATTGTACAATTTTAAGAAAATTAAAAGCTATAATTACTTGTGATACCAAATATACAGCTTTAATGGGGAAATTATACCTTTACAATTGCGATGTGCTCTGTTCCATCTAACTTTGAACGGTAACAGTAAGCTTGAAAAGGGCCCCATTTGGTTGGCAAACGTGAAACTGCACTTCTCTCCACCAGCTTTTCCCTCTTTCTTCTGTACCTGCAATCATATGGCAGAGCTGTTGGTGTTGCTAATGAGTTGGTCACTTCGCATTGGAAAAGCTTAATATTGACTTGGAGGAAGAAGGAAATTAAACAAGATGTGGAGGTTCTGAGCTTTATAGGATTAAACTTCAAAGTGGAGATCAGCAGTTGGAGTGCTTATTGGGATGGCATAGTTGAAAGTAGTTTTGTTTACAGTTGTGTCTTCTCTACAGGGAGCAATGCGAAGTTTCTTGATCCGAAGTTGAATAATAGAAGTTGCAGGATTCAATCCAAATGAAAAAGCTCACCGGATCAAATCAGTGATTAAGACTATTGGTAATCCATGTTCCGTGGCCAACTTTCTTAAATAGGGCAATGATGCCATTGAACCATCGTCTGCGTTAATGATAGCTGAAATAACAGAGACCGGCCGTAAGCCAGCCAATGTAACCAAATCTACAGAAGCCTCGGTATGGCCAACCCTTCTCAGAACTCCACCAGTTCTGTACTTGAGGGGAAACACATGGCCTGGCCTTGTGAAATCTTCTGGATTGGAATCAGGAGATGAAAGAGCAAGAACGGTCTTTGCTCGGTCGGACGCTGAAACTCCAGTAGTCACACCAGCTTTGGCATCCTGATGGAGCAAACAGGAGTTACTGAATCGTTTTTCACTCTGGAAAACAAGAAAATACAAATACAATTGTATACCACAGTGACTGTAAAAGATGGGGCAGATGAGTCTTCATCTCTGCTTTCTGGTGACATCAGTGGAAGCTTCAGCCTCTCAAGATCATCTTCTTTCATACCTACGGATACAATTCCTGACCCATGCTTAACCATAAACGCCATAGCCTGAGTGCTTGCAAGAGATGCTGCCATGATGAGGTTCCCTTCAACGTCCCCATTTTCATCATCTACGGCAATAACAAACTAGATTTTGATGGAAAAAAAAAAAGAAGATACTAGTCAATATTGGATTGAGAAAAGCTTCCTGTCCAGCGTTATTTTCTTCAAATAACCACTTATCTATGTAGACGAAGGGTATGGACCTTTCCTTGACGTAAAGCATCGAGTGCTTTGTCGATAGCAGAGAAGCCCTCTGATGGGCGGTCAGGGTCGCCCTCGGCATCGCTGACAAAGAAATCAACAGTTTCTGGAGTGATTTCCGCATTTACAGTCCCAAAAGTTGCCATAGAGGACTCGTCGACAGCACCAAATAGAGCCCCATTTTCATTTTCCAGCGGAGAACCATCACCAAACAATTCCCCACCTCCAATTCTAGTCGCACCAACTTGACAGCAACCACCGGAGCTGAAAAAACCAGTAGTCCTGCTCAACCTGAGGCCCGGATACAGAGAAGTGCGAAAGGAGCGATGAAATCTGAAGCAAAAGTATCATTTCAGGAGCTGAATCAAGACATGGGAGTTATATTCTATGAAGTCGTGATATAAATCGAACATGTGAAAAGCAGTAAAGAGGATTTTACCTAGAACTTAAGAAAATTTGAGGATACAGTAGGTGCTGAACCCAAAGGCAATCCATGGAACCGATGCTTCAATTCAGATTTCTTTCACAGTTCCTTATTAACTTTGAGAATTGTGTTTGTGTCATTCGAGCGACAGAAAGAAAGTCCTAGCCTTGTTTGTATTTCTATCGTCTGGACTGTCTACGACATTATCCAAAAGGAATATACGTGCGGAACGTCATGACCACACACAACAGCCGGAGTTTAAAGGGAAGGCAAGAATTTACTTCTCGTTTTATGATTTCGAACTTCATTTATTCTCCTAACTCTTGATTTTGTCATTACGCGTGGTTCTTTTTGAAGTGTGCCCAACCACCATATGAAACAGGGACAAACCACTTCGATCATGTTCTTGTCATCTTGTGAATTTATTTCAACTGCTGCAGTTCAAGGGAGTCGTGTGGTCGCAGCAGAGAAAATCAGGACGGGCCAATTAGTTTCCTAACAGTCCAATTATCATTTATTTTTTAAGTTTGGCAATTAAACAAACTTTAGGATTTGTGTTTTTTAAAAGAAACAATTGATAAAGGCTTTAAAAACAGTTTTTTGTCACATTTTTATTTACCAAGTTCAAAGGCAAAAGCTTATCCAAAGAAGGTTAACATGTCTCAGTCATGTTAGATAGAGAAATAAATATATAGAAGAATAGGTGAACTAAGCATCAATCAAAAAAGAAAAGGATAGATTAACTATGCCACCCGATATCTTTTCCTCGCCACGTTGTGTAATGGATAGGGTTGTTCATCAGCCTGATGAAACCGATCAAACTTACTAACCTGACCCGATTCGATCCGAATTGGAGTTTATTGGCTTTCTAATTATTTCAACCGGTTTTGGTTTAAGTTTCATGTAAACCAATTAAAACTGAGCTGATTCAATTATATATATATAATATATCAAATTTATATTTTTATATTTTTAATATAAAAAAGTGGAAAAAATCTCATATTTTTTATTTTAAAATATTTTATATTGTAATTTTTTATTTTAAAATTATCTTTTTAATAACATTATTACAATTCTTTAAATTTAACTTTAACATCTAAATTTAATTTTTTAAACCAACCAACCTAAACTAATACAACTTGAATTGACTAGTTTTGATCTTTGGTCAATTTGTTTCAATTAACTTCCCAACTTAATCAAGTCAATTCCATTGGCCAAATAACCTGAAATCAAACCAGAAAAGCCCATAAACACCACTAATAATGGATTGCTAATCAATGTGACACACTATCCAAGGTCAAACTATGCCGGTACACATGATCATTCTTCATAGTTCATAGTGATTGATAACTTTAACTAGACTAATAAGCTGATATACCCAAGGATCAAAATATCACAGTGTCGGCCAATGCGTATTGTATCAAGGGATTTCCAATATACCCCTATAAGGGGTGTTTCGAGGTTTAGCCTAGTTTAGGGGGTAAACCGGCCTTAAACCTAAACCTCTGAACCAGTTCAAAGAAAAAGTAAAAAATAAAAATAAAAAGCGAGCAAATAAACAAGCTATGCTACTTCCATAAATGTCATTCTTCGACGAAACACATGTCGAAGCTAATGAGTTCTTCCTCTGGGTTCCACTTAAATATCTTTTTTTTTATGTTGACTGGCTGCTGATTATTTTGGTGAACTGGGACTCACGTAGTCGTATCATATATACATCTTTCTCTTGCCAGTTGCCAATTGCTTTCGTGTATTGCCACATAGGCTATTTCTTCGACATTGCATTACTTTCCAGATTCTTCATCAGAAACCATGGTTTTTAAAAACGAACCGGTGACCGAATCTGTCAGGGGTCCGGTTACTGGTTTGAACGGTCCGACCATTCGACCTGAACGGCTGGCCCGTTCTGACAAAAAAAATAAAAAATCGGAAAACGATCAAAACGGTTCGAATGGTTAATCGGCCAGTTCAGCGATTTGCTGACCAAAATCAACGGTTTTGAGGGAAAAAGCAGTTTTGGAGGAAAACGGAACCGGTCAAGTGACCAGTTCCTGGTTTTTCCAATCCGACCGTCCGGTTCGGTCCGGTTTTGATAGCAATGTCAAAAACAACAAGAGTGCATTTACTAGGGAAAATTTTGAACAAAACTATATATAATTGGATGGTCGATGTCAATATGTTTCTTCTTTGAGAGAAGCTATTTATCTATTTTCTCCATTTTTTACATTTTTCTTATTTTCTTTTGTTTTAAAAATATAAAATAGTAATCATTGCTTCTCTTGATTAGATTAATAAAGTTGCACACTATTAGAGAGAGACCTTTGTATTTTTCAAGGCCTCTTATTTTAATTCATATTATTATTACATTTAAAAAAGACATTTAAGAGAGAGAGAGAGATTAGTAATAATATAGAAAGGTTGAGGTAAACAATCAAAAAATTATTAATTTAAAAATCCACTAAACTTTCACTAAAAATAAATATTAAAAATGTGTTTTAATTTCACTTAAAAAGTAAACTTAATAAGCGCTAATAAAAATAAGAAATTTAAATATAAAAATATTAATTGATGGTTTTAATAATATTATTAGATAACTTATGAGTTGAGACTTTTATTGTGCATAATGAACTCATTCAAAATGTTAAAAAAATAATGAAAATTTCAAATGTAGAACCCATTTTATTAACAATATTTTATTGCAAAAATTACTGAATAATAATGAAAAAATACCAATAATTAATTATAAATAAGAAATTTAAATATAAAAATATTAATTGATAATTTTAATAATATTATTAAATAACTTTGTATTAATGCATTTTTAATTAATTAATATTTTTTTATGAGTTGAGACCTTTATTGTGCATAATGAACTCATTAAAAATGATAAAAATTAATGAAAATTTAAAATGCAAAACTTGTTTTATTAACAGTATTTTATTGTAAAAATTACTCATATGCAAAAATTACTAAATAATAATGAAAAATTACCAACAATTTTAAAAATCTAGAAAATTCTGAAAAACAAAAAAAATATTGAAATACTAAAAATAATTAAAAATTTTGAAAATTAACAATATTTTATATTAATAAGGGTATTTACTAAAAATAATTAAAAAGTAAAATTAATAGTATTTTATTATTAAAAAATACCAAAAATATATAAAAAAACCTAAGCGAGAAATTATTGAAAATTAGTTGTATTTTTTTATTAACTATGGTATTTATTTAGTTATTTAATTTATTTTTATTGAAAGCAAATGCAAATTAATTTTGTAGTGACTAATGAAGCGGGATCTGCTCCTCACAAATGGGCGCCTCACAAGCACATCGCCGGGCATTGGGGGCATCTCTTGTGAATAATAACTAATAAGTACGGGAGATGTTCCCAATGCATGGTAGGATGTGCATGTGAGGCACCAGGTGTGAGGAGCAGATTCGGTCCCATGACTAATACGCAAAAATAAATGTTGAAAATACTGAAAATTATTGAAAAATACAAATATGCAAAAATTACCGAATAAAAATGAAAAAGCACCAAAATTAATTAAAATTTTTAAAATCCTAAATCTTAATTAAAATACTAAAAATAATTAAAAATTTAAATTATTTGTATTTTATTGCAAAAAATACTGAATAATAATAATAATAAAAAAAAATAATGTATTTTAATTATTAATAGTAATATAATTAAAAATAATTATTTTTAAATTATAATTAACAATAATTATAATTAACAATAATTATAATTTAAACTATAAATAGTAGAAAATTACATTTAATTACCAGAAAAATAACATTTAATTAGTTTTATACAAAAAATTAGCAATATTTCTAAAAATATGATAATTTCGAGAAATTAATGCATTTTAAATAAATATAGTAATTTAATAATTACAATATTTTAATAGCTAACAATATCTTAACAATTAATAATAAAAAGTAATAAATCGTTTATAACTTTAACCTAAACAGATTAGATCTATAAATTTGCATGCTCAAGCAAGTATTTTCTTTTGAGTTAACTCTATCTGAGATATGCACCATGCCCACACATTATCAGGGATAATCAAATTCAAAGTCTAATTGGGTATCAAACTTTTGGAGTCCAATGATAGCTTTAGCGGATGGGGCCCAAGCTAAACAACCCCTAAGAATCTCAACTTGGAAGTTATATGCATATATGGTAAATATTATTATATAATACTTAAATAACAAAATTTATATTAGTATATATATAGAAATGTTATATATTTTTTTATACTATACTAGAATTAAATAAAAAATTTAATTTATAAAAAATCATAGTTTTATGATTAACACAGACCTCTTTATCAACAAAAATTGTGCAAGCCCGAGCCCAAGCCCGACCCAACTATCGGGCCTAGATCTTGAGCCCAAACCCAGCCCTCATATAAAGCCCGAAGCGCGAACCCGAACCCGAAGCCCGATCTATACACAAAATATCTTATTTTCAATATACTTTTATAAACTATTTTTATATTAATTTAGTAATAATTTAATAGATTAATAAACTAATTTATACTTCCTAATAGTAAATTGATATTTACTAATATTTAAGAAGTATATATATATATAATATTTATTATATATAACATAAGTACTTTTTTATATATGTAATAGTATCGGGTCAGGCTCGAGCCCAC